CACAATCAAATTTTGAAAAGGAGAACCAACCCAAAAATGTCAAACCGCACAAAATTTAATGCCTCCAAATTAAAAGGCCCCAAAATCTTCCATAAAAGATTTCATTAAACCAACTGACAACCTAGAACTTCAAAATGAATAAAAAAAGCTCGAAACTGAAAACAATCTTCAAGGCCGTACAAAAAAGAAAAAAAAAACTTTGAAGCCTGTAGAATATGAAAGAGTGCTTCTCATTGTTGGACCATCAATACGAAATAGTGAAACACAATCGGATCTCAATTTTGGTGATTGAGATGTGATTTCTTTCATCTATAGTCCACAAAAAATCAATGAAGGAATGAAATTTGAAAGGAGAAGGATACTTTTCCATTGATTGCGAAGCTTCAATTGGATTTCCTCTATCATCAACCAAAAAGATACTTTCGAATGCTTCTACAGAAGTGCCTTCGTCAGAAAATTCAACAATCATTTTATTAGCTAAATGTGTTTCAAGTTCCTTGCTGCTCATACTAACATTAGATGCTTCATCAGATGTGATATTATGGAAAATTGAAGAGGGGATAGGATCCTTAGTGGGAGAGCTAATTATACCTTTGGTTAAAGTGATTTGATTCTGGAGGCTTTAATATCCATCTAATGTGGTTAAAGATTCTACTCAAAATTCAGCATCTAAAAAAAAATAAAAAAAAATGAAGCAGATCTCCTTGTCTTATTTATGTAAAGGCTTTAATCTCCATCTAGGTTTTCTATTGGGGAGAACATAGAAGGTAATGGAACTTATCGTTTTTTCATTTACTCCAGTGGGAAGCACTTGCTCTGTTGCTTATTGGGATAAGTGTAAATCAATTGCGGTCTTTACCTGAAGGTACCACCAATTTGGGTCTCACAGTCTCCATGGGCGCATATGTCTACACGCTGATTTTTGTAAGTGGATCTTGTTTTATGGCTAGAATGCTAGCGTCTTACAACTTTAGTCAAACCTAAACTTGTTCTTCTCCCATCGGTTTCTAAATATTTCGAGTAACTTGTATCTTTTTTATAGGTTACTGTCCCATCTTTAGCTTCTGTTTATAATGAATATGCTTTGAAGAGCCAGTATGATACGAGCATTTATCTCCAGGTAACGTTACTATTGTTGTGTGTTACTATTGTTGTGTTAAATTGTATCTAAAGAATTACCTGAGATGTTTAAATAGATATGTTTTTCTGTTTCATTTGTTTTCTATTTAGAAAAAGTAAGAATAGCTGTCCATCATATCTGTAGTGGAGGACATGCTTTCTCAATAGCCAATTCCGTTTATTTAGAATTTGGGATAATGGATGTGGGATCTTGAGTGGCTTTTCTTCTTTGACGTTCAAGTGATAGCATTCTTAGCATATGTAAATATTTTGTATCTCTTAGTGTTCATTATTTCTAATGGTAGATTTTTTTTTTTTGATGAATTGCAGAACTTGTTTTTATACGGATATGGTGCAATGTTCAACTTCCTGGGAATATTAGGAACAGTTATTATTAAAGGTAAGATATAACGCTCTAATTTACTACCTCCCCAATTAAATAAACAGAAGACTTTGTATGGTTTCTTCCAGAAGATGCATCATCTAAGTCATGAATTTTTTATCTTGTTCTTATTCTTTTGTGAAATTGATCGTGACTTGGTATATGTAGTTTCACATTGAGTCATCTTTTGAACGCAATTTCTTATTATTAGACATCTCAATATCACAAAAGAAAAAGAACCAGAAAAAAAATCACAAGTATTGATTAGACATCATATATGGAAATTTCTTATTATTAGACACTTTCTGTGATTTAATGATCTCATGTTGATATACCTTTCGTGTATTGTGGTTTGACTTGAGCTCTTTTATGATTTGATGATATCATACCTAGTATTTTGGCCCTTCAGTATTTTTTTAAACTCAGTTATTGGTCACGAGATTCTCTTCAGATTAGATTTTTGAATGAATTAATTGTTCCTCCTGGTTTATTATGGCTGCCTGCACTGTGAATGTACTAGCTCAATGGCAGTATAGAGTTCTGATTAGCTGCCTTTCGACTTTTTGTATATTTTAGGTCCTAGCAGCTTTGATATCCTGCAAGGTCATTCGAAAGCCACAATGCTGCTGATAGCTAATAATGCAGCCCAAGGAATTCTATCCTCTTTCTTCTTTAAATATGCAGGTAACCTAAGCATAGATAGGTTTCTCATTAAATTATTAGATTAACCATGCCTTTTTTGTCTATTGCTATAATATCATAAGTTTCTGGACACTTTTGGTCCATGGATTAGTATCACACGTCTTATTAGATTTCTGCTTTCTTTCTTGCAGATACAATTCTGAAGAAGTACTCCTCAACAGTTGCTACTATCTTTACAGGCATAGCGTCTGCTGCACTGTTTGGTCATATTTTGACTATGAACTTTGTCTTGGGAATATCCATAGTTTTTATCTCTATGCACCAGGTACTTTGGGGAGGGGACGACCCTGACAAGGCTAAATATGCTACCAAAACATAATTTCCGAGCACTAATTCTTGATATTGTGTTTCAGTTCTTCTCATCCCTCTCAAAAGTCAAAGATGAGCAGAATGGGATCACAGAAATGGTGGATGTGGATAACCAGAGGTAGGAACTTATTTATGTTGTGAGACATCAATTTGATGTGGTTTCTAGTCATGGGCTTATATTATATTTAAGACTTTCAGCTTAAAGGTTGACCCAGTTCCTTTGCTTTGAAAATTGCCAAGATAAATATTTTCTCTGATAAGGATTTGAGACTGTCTTTGTTAATGGTGGATCAGCTGCTTGGTAATTTTCCTTTTTGGATATTTAATTTTTTGAGTTTTTTCTTTTCAGGTCAAAGGGTTCCTTCGTAAGTATGACAGCAGGGGCTAACGAAGAGGTGTGCATTTGGCTTGTTTTCAGAGCTTGTTTTCAGGATGTTTTATGAAAAATTCTCAGTACGCACTCAAAAAACCATGAATGATTTAGATTTGGTTTATTTGCAGGCTCTTGTTGAATCTGATGAGCGAAAGCCACTTCTTCCAACCTAAAAGTTTTTCTCAACCAGGTATTTGATGTATTATTTTTTTCTTTCTTTCTGTATGAACTCTTAATTATTATTATTAAACACCTATAAAGGGTCTCCACATTCACCAGATAGTTATGTTTCCTCATTCCTTAATTCACAGTGAAAGCAAACTGAATTTATTTACTTTGGTGTTCATGATCAATCTAATCTGATCATGATGAAGTCAAAATTCTTGATATGACCTTTTGGGTGATCAAGTTTGCAATTTGATAACTTGGCTTCTTTTTTCCTTTTTTTTTTCTTTGAAGACAAAATGAAGTTTTAATGGCATATTGAGAACCCATTTGGTTATGTCTGCTGCCTAGACCGATCTAAAGCTGGAACAAGCTTTGGTTTCTCAATTCTAGGATACAAATATGATAAGCTATCTTAATTGTAATGTACATGACATAATGACTTGGTTCATAGGAGCTTAAAGAATTTTTCTCATTTAAGTGCCTGAGAGCATAAAACGAAATTTGTGTATTTATCGTGATTTGGTATCATAAAGTCTTACTTCGACATCAAATCACATAATCCACGCCTCTTACAGGATCTCTTGGGAAGTTTTGCCTGGATCATTGGACCGTAGGGAGACGGCGGGTGACATGTCTCAACCTTTATCAATAAATTTTTTTGATGATGGTTTCCTCCAAGGTTGCAATAGTCTTCCTCAGGTTGGTTTCGATATGAAATTTTTGTTGCTCAGATTAGATTAGATAATAACAGCATGGGTATTATCATACCTAAATAGCCCTACCTACATTTCAAGTCGTGGTTTTAGTAACATGTATTATTATTCTTTACCCCCAGACTGATTATAACCAATAATTCTTGTCTATTTCCTTCCACAATATCTCAAATTTTTTATTTCCTTCCCCCATTGAAAATGTAGTGCTACAATTCAGATCTTATGACAAACATGTACTCAATTTTCTTATACATATAAAGGAAATGTTATAAACTGTGTTTGAAACATCAAGACTGCTTAATATGGGGATAGATCTCTGTGATTGAGAATGAATCAAAAGTGAAGTTTCATTTGATTATCTTAACTGCTTGCAGCATTTTTCATTTGTTCTCAGACATTTTTTTCAATTCTATTTGCATATTTTTAAAAAAAATGTGAAAGGAGGGAATATGCTTTGAATACCAGAACTAATATCAGTTCATTGAAAGGATGAAAAGTTGGCTAAAATGATGTGATTATGTAGTACTTTCTGGATTGATTATTGCTTGGATAGATTAAAATGGAGAGTGGTTAGTGACACTATCCTACGTATTTGGTTGGAAGCTTATTAGTTTTGATAGGTTTAATGGTTGGCTAATTTTAAATTATTGAGTTGGTATTCATTGTGAAGAGAATGTTTGCTTCGTTTTTTTAGATTCTTTGGAGACAATGAAATTATGATAAAATTTCTGGTTAGATTACTTTAAAGTTTATTTTAGAGTATGCTTTTGAACTCAAAACTTCCACAAATGGAAGTTGTAAGAAACAATTTAGTTTAATATTAATTTCGTTTTGTATCATCTTTTGGTAGGCATTTACACAATTAGGTACAGAAAGCGTTGGACTATAATGATTTGAAAAAGGAAATTAAAAGTTCCCAAGGAATTATTAATGCTTGCTATGAAAGACTGATAAAAATGTAAAGGCAGACAAAAAAATCGACCACACCTCATAAAGCGTCAACCAAATATGGCTCGGCGGGATCCACCCACCTAATTCTCGACACCAATTTTTGGGTACATTTGTTCTTTTTGCTAAACAATGACCTATAGACATATTATAAATCATGTCTATAGATCGAAAGATACGAATAGTTACATCTTATAAAACATTCAAAAATACATATATAGTTACAGTGCATCAATATCTAAAATAATCCATAATCATCATTTTGGACTATAGTTTTGAGTGTGTGTATATATTAAATGCAGTCCCATGGGAGTCCATTCATTTTGATATAAGTGAAAATCAGCAAGTTTTTGTTTAGATCAGAGTTGAAGAACAAAATATATAAAAAGAAGACCTAATAGCCTCAGGTAAATCTGCACTCTACAGTTTTGAGAAGGCAGAGAGTGTCAATGAGGGGCCTCCATTAATATTCAGAAACAGATAATTCTCCACACATTCAGCTACCATCACTCTTCTTAAAGTCTCCCAAGACTCTGAAACCGGTCTACCACATCCAAGCTCACCATTTACACAAGCAAATAAAAGGGATATGCGTAAAGCTATCCCGACCAAATATCGTAGGCATATAAGAGAGAAACTATTCAAAGCATACGCAAGAATTCAAACTCAGGGGGATGAAACCATGTACATTGCCATCAAGACACTGGCGCAGGGGGACCAGTAGGTGCGGGGGGCTTCAAAAGAGGTTGGAGGGCTTTCACAACGATGCTCATATTTGGTCGGAACTCAGATTCGTACTGTACACACAATGCAGCCACTGCTGCTAGCTGCATCACCGAACAAGAAAAGTAGATTTGTTAATCACCTGAACGAACTCTGAGCTTATAATATCGTTCATTATATTGAGTACCTTCGCAATTCCTTTAGGAGGGTATTCTCCCTTTAGTCTTGGATCTACGCATTGCTTCACTTTGTCCTCGCTTAGCCTTGGGGTAGCCTAAAGGAAATAAGCATGTCAAACCATGTTTCATATATAATAAGAGGGCAGACAATGTCTTTTTAGGCGCAACGCCCACGAAAGCGTATTAGGCTTTTGGAGTTGATTGCAGAGGCACGCCTCCGCAACAGCACCTTATTTGTCTCGTCTTTTTGAAAAGGGTGTTTCAAAACGCTTTTCAAAACACATGGAGAAGAGACAATGAGAACAATTTAACAAGGAATACACGTTACAACTCACCCAGGTAACTAAACTTTGCTGTCCGCGGGGCATCGTGTGATCGACAGGTTTCCTACCAGTCAAAAGCTCAAGTAGAACTACACCAAAGCTGTATACATCACTCTTCTGTGTCAACTGTCCAGACATTGCATACCTGCAGAAAGACATCCACTGATAAAAATGATGGCAAAATTTAAGCCACTTTTCTGAAACAAAAACTGCATTTCTTAAACTGAAAATGTTAATAAATGAGGGTAAGTTTTTGTAAATGTTTTTATAAAATGGTGTACAAAACAAAAGACTGTTACCAATTTTTTATCAAAAGGTTACAAATGAGACAACCAGAAAAGCAGCCTCCTAAAAAACAAAAAATGGTTTAACACACAGGTAATACAATATTAGCAATTTAGCAGTGGAAAAAGGTGTAAATATTTGTGCTCCTATCAGCTCGATATTAGCAGAAAGACAAGAATTCCCACTTTAAATATACTCTGGCTTAGAAGGACTCTGCTGTCATTCTGTAAATCAACGGTAGAACTTTGAAGACAATTTATCATGGGTTTGAAAAAGACTATTAGAATTTGCAAAGTTCTAGTTTCACAGCATAAATTCACCCAAACTATCCTAATAGAGGTCTCCACACAATCAACCAAGAACAGGAGAAGAGAGTTTTAGAAACATTACTCTGGAGCATGGTAACCAAAAGTTCCCAAAACTCGAGTTGAATGAAGACGGGCTGCCATATCAGGGGCTTGATTGGAGAGGTTAAAATCAGCTATCTTCGCTTTAAAATCCTCAAAGAGAAGCACATTGCTGGACCTGATATCTCGGTGTATAATAGCAGGTTGAACCTTCTCATGCAAGTATTCCAGTCCTTTGGCAGCATCAACTGCAATTCTCACTCGCTGCATCCAGTCGAGCACTGGACCAGGTTGTGCTCCTTGTACTCCCTTCCTTCCTTCAATCATGGAGAGGGTGGGCTTATATCAATTACCCGATCTTAGATCAGTTATTAGTAACATTTTCATAAAGAAAAGTTAAAAGGATGGGATACCATGTAACACATCATGCAAAGATCCCATGGTTGCATATTCATATGCCAATACACGAAGATTTCCTTCAACACAATATCCAAGCAATTCAACAAAATTTTCATGTTTCAATCTTGATACTGTAGAAACCTGAAAGTCAAAAGGATATTAAAAGACCATATATTTGGTCAAGATATCCAAATTAAGAAATTAAAAATGATATAGGTAAAAAAAATGATCGAAATATTATTCCAATATCTAACAAACCTGGGTCAAAAACTCAATGTTACTGTCAGGCTCAGAGGAAACATCGAGCTTTTTTACAGCTACATTTTTCCCATTATTCAAGCTTGCATAGTAAACTCTACCATAAGATCCTTCTCCAATCAATGCTTTCGACCCAAAATTATCTGTCTTTTCTTTCAGTTCATCCAGGGAGAGTGCAGGCACTTCAATTGTTGGTGCTGCCTTTTGTGCCTCAGGTTTAACAGGTGCTGACACGTTTGGGCCCTTTGAGTGGCCTAAATGTGAAACATAGTGAAGCTTCAGTGGAACAAACTTATTTATACTTCCTTAGTGCATACACTAGTGTACCAAAACGTGCCTCAATTGGGCAATAAAATTTCAAAAGACATACATAAAAGAGTAATTATGTTGAGCCAATTAGGAACCAAAAAAGACAAAGACATCTTCATGATCCTGTCTGCTTTCTGGTTCTAATTTCATTTTCATTATATCAATGATCAATGGTTTCTTGTTCAAAAAAAAAAAAAAAAACACCTAAGTGATGCACAACTTTCCTCCGTTAACATTGATAAATTAGCTATGGAAACTAACCATCTCCAAAATTAGTGGGGATTTTCAAGTGCTCATTTTCAGTTGACTCGTTAGTCTCTTCAACTTGACAAAAACAACAAAACCACTTGCGCATTCTCACTTTCTTCCTTTGCTGTCGATTATTCGGACTTTTGTTCGCTGGATGAAAAATGTTATCAGGAGGAGGAGCATAAGCCTGCACAATGTTAGCACAGTTTCACTAAGAGTGTAATGGCAGTGGCCTTCAGTAAACTCTCATAGTTAACACAAAAGAAACACTCAAATGGCTGCACAATAACAATAGTATTTTACCCTTATAAACAATGAAGAACAGAGTAAAAGATGGAAAATCGGCAACAAAGAAAACAGGTGAACTTCTAGTAATTTAAAACACAACCCGAAAGAAGTAGATAGAACAAGCATTATATTTCATAGTATTAGAGACCTTCACCAAACTACTAGAGACACTTCCATTAAGGGCTTGAAATTGTTGCATTAGACACAATCACACCTCAAAATCCAACCCAATCTTAACTACTTGATAACACCTAAATTTATAAGCAATTTCATGATCTAGTAAACACGCTGGTCTTTTAGAAAGGTTATTAACTAATACTAATAAACTCATCAAAAATTCCCCATCTAGATTGCTGCAACAAACCGGCAATGATGATGGGGGATTTCACAAGTGAAAATCTTAAAAAAAAAGGTCTTACATCACTCTTTCTCCAAATTGGTGACCATTATGCAAGAAAGAAAACAAATCACAAAGCCACTTGTTTATGCAATGCACATACACTCATAATTTCTAGACAACGATTCTCAATATATTCGGATGGCATCTCACATTTCCTAGGGATGTAAAGAACTTTTTGGATATGGCTTTTAACGTTCTACCCTTTCAAGAATGCAAAAGCCCTATTATGGAAAAACCTCATCATGGCTTTTTTCTAGAAATAAATCAGAGAATATTTTCAGAATAGACACAGACCTACACAAAACTTTTCAACAGTGTTGGTTATACCTCCCTCATTGCAAATTGGGAAAGTCTTTTGTAGACACCATGGATTATACATCCATATTGTAAATTTCAATCACCAATGAAATTATCTCTTATTAAAAAAAAATGATGATGATGATGAGGGATTTAAAACTTGATGTCGTTGAAAAAATGCATATCATCTGGCATTCACCCCTATAAGAAAAGTAATAAGCTCATATAGAATTGGGCAAACAAAGCTATTTGGATCAAAATCAATCAATAATTAATATTTTCATGCCCCGAGATACTCCAAACGCTGAGAATTCAGCGTTCAATAGACTTAGTTTAGTGAAAATGGCGATTGAAAATTTTCAAAGAAAAGGAATAGAATGATATGAAATTGTGGAAAGATCGTTAAAGGAAAATTTAATAACAATACTATAAACAAAATGCACTTTGGAAGAGAAGGGAACAAAAAAAAAACCCATAATCGCCTCATCAGATGGATGATTCTTACCACTAGCAAATGCCTACCAGACTCCGAGTTCTTCATCCAAAAAGCAAGAGAAATTCAAACAAAACCGATTTAGCAGAATGCAGATAATAAACACACAAAAAAGAAGAGTATATAAGAAGAAGAAAAAATTTCCCGATTTAGCGACAACCTAAACAAAAAACTACATCGATATTCGTTTCGAAACAATCAAAGAACAAACCAGCGAAAACTCGGCAGAATTTGGCCAAACAAAAAAAAAAAACTAGACAATCAAAGAAACAAATTCTTGAAAACCGAACTGAAAATGGATAAGAAGGAAGAACGAGAAATTAAACCTGAAATTAACAGATTGGAAGGCGAAGAAGCTCGAAGTGGAAAGGAAACAGAAATTGTACAGGTGTGGAGAAGAAGAAACGAAAGAGAGAATGGAAACAAAAGAACAACACAGATACAGATGGGAATTGGTGGGTTTTTTGTTGTGTGTTGGGATTTTTAGTGTTCGGATTCGGATTGAAAGCAAAGCAAAAGAAGAAAGCAACAAGGAAAAGCGGGGAATGACAGAGAAGCATACACCGACGCCGAGCTGACAACTCTCTCCCTTTACTCTGAATTTCTCACATTAAGCCAAAGAAAAAGGGAAGAAAGTGAAAGAAAAAGCTCCCTTCTTTTTCTATTACTATTTTTTTCTCCCCTTCACTCACAAGTTTATCCAATATTTTCTTTAATTATATCAAATTAATACCAATACATTAATTTCAAAACATTAATGTAACGAGTTCGACATTATTTACAACATCATTCACATCAATTAAATAAATTGTAACAACCATTTTTTAATAGTATATTGATTTATTACAAAAATTCTTTAATTTTAGATATCACCGTAATATGTGATGTAACCCAATGATGTATGTCTTCTCTTGTATCTTTGACGATGACGACAAAAAACAAGATTCGTCAACTAATACATATCTAATACAATAGAGTACTGGGTGCGGGTGCGACAAACAAAGATCAGACAAAAACATCTATAACAAATAACTAAATTTGACAACAAAAATAAATAGGAAGAAAAGTTAGTTGTTATAGCTGACCATTTAGTATCATTGTTTAAAATATAGTACGTTAAGATATAATACTTGTAACGGCTCAGATCCACCGCTAGTAATTATTGTTCTCTTTGAACTTTCCCTTTCGGGCTTTCCTTCAAAGCTTTAAAACGTGTCTACTAGGGGAAGGTTTCAGCGATGGATCTGGGCTGTTACGATACTAATCCACACTTTAATCCAAACAAAGCTTTATTCAAAATGCAGAACCACAAAGAACACTATGCTTCCCTCGTCTTCTTTAAAGAATGTATGGTCAGACTGAAAAACAACCTTGAGAGAAGAGATGACATCCCAATGTATAAAATTATTTAATTTTAGGTATTTACAGTGTCTGTGTTAATAAACGGTTTAAGAGCAGGTTGTTTATATCATATAAGCATCACTTGAGTTTAGAGAGAATGTAGTGTTGTCTAGACATTGGCCTCATTTGCTACCACCATCATCACCACCATACTCAGTAGAATTACCATTCCAAAAGGAATTCCTACCTTTGAACCGTTCGTCATCTTCATCGTTTTTCAACGTATGAATGCTATGAATATTTGCTCCAAATCTAGCTCTTGACAATGGTTGCTTCCCACGGGTATTGTTTCCGTTCGTTGTTGCAGTTCCTTGGTTTGGTTGGGGGACATGGCGCCTCTCTACTTCTGAAAATTCACTACCTGATAGATATATATATATAAACATATTAGAGAAAAGTTCATTTCTAACTCTATACTTACTCCAATGGCTGAATTTTCACATACTTGAAGAGTAAAAAACTAAGCCACAAAATCACCCAAACCCAACCATAAAAATACTCAAAGCCAGCCACAAAACCTGAAACTAAAGTAGACCCTTTGAAAGTTAAGAGACCGTAACAAAATAATCCTGAAAGTTCAAGGGTTAAACCAAGATTTTAACCTTAAAAAAAACATTAACACTCATGTGAAATTTCTATTTTAGGAAAAGAAACTCACTATACTGTCGCACATCTCCTTGAGTTTCATGTCTGGTACCCCCAAGATAGGAGAATGGATTCACATAAGATAAAATCCTTCTAACGAATGCAAAGTATCCATCACCGTTTTCATCTGAAGATACACCATTGGCTGCAGAATTTCTTTGATCAGCAGAGGAGGATGCTCCCCTGAAATCACGAGTAACTCCCAGATGTCGAACCATTATCAATGATTGTCTATTAGATAGGCCCAAGTAAGACAATGATTTCTCCAAATCTGCAGCAATTCAAATAATTAAGACAATGGTCAACCACGAGCTTCCCAGTAAGAATCTTCATGCCATTAAGTATTATAATGATAGATTCCAACAAAACTTCAAATAAGGAAGTTAAAGAGTTTAATGAGGTCCACAGACCAGAAAAACACCAATTTGAGCCGGACTATTAGCTATAGTTATAGAATCATAGATGAATCGTTTGAAAGATCTGAACATCAGTTTCAATCAATACCAGCTGATCCTTAGTCCTAATCAGTGGATGCCAGTCCAGTTGATATTTTAGTAAGGCACACAGCAAGGGTTTCATGATAAAAACTCATAGATGTGTCACCATACTTCTAGTATTTCATTTCAAAGAAACAGGGGTACTAACATGTATTCGAAGTGCCATATAGGTTGGATGTTCTAATTTCAAGGAGGTGCTAGAATGGCAACAAAAACAATTGCAGGACTATGAGTATTACGCCGTTTAAAGATTATTTACATGAAACTTGAAACGTGAATGGTGAATTCAATAATAGAGTCACTTTTTGTATGGGTTTGTATTGTTGGATTTATGAAAAGTTCTTGTTCATGGTTGTTCTTTACATAGATATCTTTGCTGTTTTTAATTCTTATTTTTCACTTTCTTTGGGAGTTTGTATCACTTGAACTTTTAACTTTTTTTTCATTATATCAATGAGAAGTAATTCCTTGTTAAAAATAAACAGTACAGCAGATCAACTTTCAAAGGAGGATGCTACATTTCTATTTCTCTCCTCCGTGGTGTATTAGGTGTGCTTCTAACTCAGAGCATCTTGGACACCTTTTTCTTATTGCTCCTTTGCCTCAATATATCGAATGGTGACTTTAGAAGCTTTTGACTGGCCTTTGAATTTTCCTAACAAGTATGATCTTGCTACTATTTTGGTGGGACATCCTTTCCAGAGAGCGAAGAGGATTTTGTGGCTTGCTATCATAGAATTTTCCTCTGATTTCTTTGCAGCAAAGAAATGGAAGAAATTTCGGAAACTCTTTATCTACTTTTGATCAATATTCAGACCTAGTAATTCTTCATGCTATGTATTATTGAAAGTGTAAGCACCCTTTTACTGATTATAGCCTTTCTTCCTTGATGTCTAATTGTTGAGTTTTCACGTAACCTTTAGGCATTGGGAGTTTTTACTCTTTTATTTTATTCATCAATAAAATTATTAAAAAAAAAAAAACAAAAAAAACAAGACTTGTCACATGGTTTGTTAGATTAACTACGTAACATATTTTCATATCATGCTCTAACACGTTCTAGTCTTCTAGCAACGTTTGTTTAATATCACTAATGATTTTACCTTTTTCCAAGCCTCTCAGGTTAAAATTTTAATTAGGCTTTAGTCCTAACACTAAATAGAATCCTAACCCATACTTCAAACTTCAAAGACAAACAAAAGTAATTTATTAGAAATATAAATTAAAGTTTTAATATTATTAGGGGCCAAATGAAAAAATAAAAATCAATAATATATGAGGATCTATTGAATTTAACCAAGTAATAAATATTCAGATCATACCTTGATCTGTGAAAACCTTGCGTGGATATGGAACAGCTAAATCATAAGATCCAAAGGTACTTTCCTGACTGTTATCCACGTAGTCTTTGACCATTCTCAAGGTGCTTGTCTTGGAGAACTTCTCCTGGAGGTTAACACCATTCAGCAGCCGAATGTTTAAATGAATATCACTTGAAGTGTAGTTCTTGGGGGCACTGCCATTTTCAATAGCATTATTCTCATCCACAATTTTGTTCTTTTCTTGTTGGGCCACTTCCTTGGTTTCTGGAGGAATTGGTCTTGAAGCTCCTGATTGACATGACTCAATATGGTTTGGAATGATAGGAGAGTCGTGCACAATTGTGGAAGTATTTTCAGAAGAACAGTTTTTCTGGCCTCCAGGATCAGCCAATGAGCCTTTATTATTCTCAGAAGGATCAGGGGATTCATTATTATTCCCAACGCTCACAGAATGATGTACAGTGTACTCCTTAACATCTGATTTGATGTCTTCCTGCTAAAAATTTCAAAATAAAATGGAACCGATTATAAATAATGTAACCCTTTAGCCTGAGGTAAACAATGTTGATACCATACCTTGACTCGTTTTTCAGGCTCCTTCCTTTTTTTAGAGGAATTTTCAGTCCCTTCCTCTTCCTCTGCTACACAACTATTGACACCCAGATTAGTCTCTGAGGAATCAATATGATGATCTGCAGGAGAAACAGCTGCCAAAGAGGAACTCCCTGAATCAGATGGCCTCGAAGTAGATGCCTCAGACTTCTTTGAAGCAAGGGCTGCCGTCAAAACAGATGCGGTTGTTTCCTGCAGTTCATCTTCAGATATAACTAAAATGTTTTGGTGCCTCAGACTTCTAAGGATGGATTAAGATTAAAAATATTTCACAAAAGATAGGAACAAAATGAGAGTCCTAACTTAACTAATTTTCAATCACATCTTAATACCTCATAATATTTCATTTTTGAAAAGCTATGAAAAAGGAGAAGGGAAGAGAGAGAAAAGGAATAAAAGGGCCAAACATGAAAAAGTCATGTAATCCGAAAGATCAGTATAAAATTAGTAAAAGTTGCCACCTCATTTATAGTTTGGTACATCTTTTTTTTTTTTTGTTTTTTTTTTTTTTAGTCAACTAATTGTCAAATTAAGTTCGGAACCACTTCATAGTATTTTCCAAACCTCAAAAACTAAAGTGCCCTTTTGAAACCTTACAGACCAAATAGATGCCAGACTCAAATTTCAGGGATGAAAAGTGCATTTTGTGCACGATTCTTCTAATTTTTCAATCCAACTACGTTGCAAAATGTCTTTAGTGGCGTTCTCCCACAAAACCAGCTTAACCACAAAAATCTAAACTGAGTAGCAAGAATACAGGGGATAAAAAGATGTTACAAGCTCCTTCATGATTTTTACAGTTGTCTAGGTTGAAGGACCTAAACTTTTTTCAGGAACCTTTTATCTTTGTCTTCTAATGAGGGGCTTTTCGTGGATGACTAAACATTTTAGTATTTATGAACTTAGTTGATTTTGTTGGATTGTAGTCTCATTCTATAGGTAGTTTTTTTGGATTCCTTCATTGATAGGTTTTTCTTTTGTATGCTCTTGAATATTTTTTTATTTTTCCCAATAAAAGCTCAGTTTTTTTAAGATAGATAAATTAATAAGAAGTGGTTTCTCCCTTTCAAATCACATTTGTAGTATGTTTATCGAACTTGAGTGTGGATAAGAGTTGGAGAAGGTCAGGGCAGCTTTCCAAGTTAGTATAGCCAATGTTTCGAAG